ATTTGATGTAAATTTCTAATGAATGTAAGAGCGAAACAGTTCAGCGAAGTGTTGTCTCCTTTGGGCGAATTCATTCACTTGGGTGTACAATCGCATTGGTGTATGATTATTTTATGTGTGCGTACATTAGAAATGTCAAAGGAAACTAAAATTAGTTAGGATTATAGTTGACTTTACATATGTGCAAACGAACTTCACTTTTAAGAGTTTTAAAAATTTTGGGCATATATTTGGGTATATGGTATTCCTTGGGAAATACAAAAAACACACTTGTTATATTTTACTTCATCAAAATGTCTGAAAAAGGTGATAAATATTGAAATTGTAAGTAGGACGGACGGTAAAGGTTGGTAAGTGTTGACAAGGGTTGAGCAATATGAAAGGCACCCGAGAAACAGAATGTTAATGAAACAGCACGGAGACACGTGTCCAAAATAAATTATCTTATATGTAGAAAGAGTAAATAAAAATTTGGTTAAAATGTCCTACGAAAATTCAAAAACAAAACAGCATTATTAACCAAGTAGTAATAGTAGAACTTGGAATTACACCCAAGGTAGAAGGAGGTGGTGGAGAAGTCTCTTCTGTGTGCATAAATCAGTGTTTTCTGTCAGGATTTCTAATTCCTCGACAATGCAAAGTATACAGAAGGCTTCTTTTGGCTTTGTAGATAGATGACTGAATGTATTCTCTGTGTATATTGACTGATCAGTGATGAATATATGTTGAACTGTAGCACTCTGTATCGATCCACTGTAGTGCGCTAGTTTACCTTTGGGGTTGTTGAAGAACAATGACAGTTTGAGACTACCAGTCGTAATGTAGCAGCAGAGTATTTTCTTTTCAGGGCGTTGGATATTCTTCTCTTTCCATTTGGCTACGAAAAGGTAACACTGTTAGCAGTACACTGTCATTGAAATTTCGTTATACACTAAGTAGCAACAATAATAGTTCTGACCGTAGTCGTACTTGATTAATAAACCAATCAACTATCATGGAATGCGATTATATAAATAGTGTTTAAGTCTTTATATTTAAATCAGTGTTTACAAAACAGGTAATGCATACAAATTGAAAGCTGAACAGTTTTTTTTTCGTAAACTACCATTTTTCGATGAAGTTGGGCTACATGTGTGTACTGACTCATTTCATATATATATGTTTACGAAGGTGTCTTTATTTGATAATGTAGTGTTTACTTTAAACAATAACTAAGAAAGCACTTTAACAGGCTGAATAGTTAGTTAATGAATAATATGATAAATGTATTCGTTGTTGAACTGATGGTGTATAACTAATCGAATAATAATTGACAGACCTTTTTACAAAATATCGTATTACAGTGAAAACTAACTAACTTAGTGAAAATCATACACACAGATATCAAATCATTTCAGTACCATTGATTTTCTGGTCATAACTATTATAAACAGTAAAGCCTTAATTACATTACTATTTTTTTTCCTTCACGTTCCCCAGTGGAACATAAGGCTTCAAGCTAGTGGCTTGAAGTTTCTGTAGAAGTGTTTATTTTACAGGATGGGGTTGCTAGCCTCATGCCTAACCTTTCCTGTTTACCAGCATTATTTCTGGCTTAGCGAAGTTAAAGGAGTTCATCGGCTGGGGATCGAACCCCGGACCATGTGCATGATCGGCGAGCGTCCTAACCGCTGTGCCACGGACGCTTAATTACATTACTATAGTTTTCCTATTTCGTAATCACTAAGCAAATCACCGTGTATTCAGTTCTAGTGTGAAAATACTACTAGAGGAAAAACCAGCTCTCAGCTCAAGAATTGCCTGTCTGCCGGATATGTGATTCTTTTCTAGGTTAATTAATGATGAAAGTGTTTACTATTCTAAACTATGAAAAAATTCATCCATGGAAGAAGTAGATAGTGTTGCTGGTGAATTAATTCGGATACTATTTCAACACCACACAACGCAAACCATTACCAACTTCATTTCACAGCTGTATGATTGATTATCAGGCCACATGCCAAATGATTTGCAAAGAAAGACAGAAGATGCAGTGAAGACAAGGCTTCAGATGAAGATAGAGAAGACAGAGGCGACGAAGATTTTCGACAGAACAACAACAAGTAAGAATCACAATCAATAGGAGAAATCTAAAGAAAGTCACCTCTTAGACTTAACTCGGGCGATATTCTTTGAATCGCATACGGGATCGATGAGAATGTCAAAGCCAGTCAGAATCAGAAAAGAGAAACGGGCACTCATTACTCTGAATTCAATAGAGAAATATGCTGACTGCACTCACTGTAAGGAAGAGTTTCTAAATTTTCAACTCCCAATGTCAAGTAAATGCTTTTATATAATTCAGACTTGTAGCGTCACCAAAAGCATTTTCAACAGGTTATTGGAGACATTCATAGAACGACAGCTGCCTTCTGTTGGTACTGAAGATCAGATGGCTGACGGGAGTAGATAAGCAACAAATATCTCGAAGGGAATTGAGATAGACCGGAGAGACACTGAGTAGACCACTGGATGGCATGGAGCATCAGGACCTTCTGTGGGACCTGAATGGGAAACGACGAGTTTGGTATGTGTCTAAGGGTGACACAGACGATATCGTGTGAGGAGGAGATTGAAGCTTAACATGTCTCGCTTCCTAAGTTAGTCAGTGACAAAGTTACGTAGCATATTATGTGGTAATGTGTGCAACAGACATGTGAACTAATTTATACTTTATCAGTAAGACACACGACTGAAGTGGGGAAGATTTATCCACTTTTGATTATACTAATCTCCTTTTCTACATTTCTTTGTTTATTGTTACGCATATGTGTTAATTACTGCTTAGTACTACCCAACTAAGTGTTGGGAGAAGAAAATCAAGATTTAATTGATTTCAAGATGGATTTTCTTCATGAAGTGACATCAGTTACAGAATCATAAAGTAACAAACAAAGATGTCTAGTCCTAGTTTGGGATTCTTCAGCAGTATGTTGTCGATTAGTGACATCAGCTGAAACCTGTTAGCAAAACGTATCTCTGGACAATTGCAGAGCAAACTTGGTCAATATGTGACATGAATCAATATGTGAGACATGAAATCAACAAATACTTATGGAAATTTTTTTATCTATAAAATAAACAATTAGTAGATTTGCTTATTCATACAGTTGTCTATTATTATTAATATCGATTCAATTGAATTCATAGTTTACTTTTTTACGATCAAGTGTCATTTAAGCACCTTTCAAATAATCAATGAACTGTGTTGAGTCGGTATTCATACATTAATCAATTATAAGGCACCACCGAAAAAAAACCTGTTTTACTTAAAATACATCACTATGTATCAATCTATTCACTTCTATATGTGAAGCCAAGTATACAGTTAAGCACAGTTGCAAGTACAGACGAGTACAGGTTACTTAAGACGGATGAACGACTGGCTAGATTAAACTATCCAGTGAGTGAATAAATCACTCAGTTAAAAACTGTTTATACTCAAGTCATTGGAGTAATGTAATAAATATCCACGATAAGAGACACTAATGGAGTTCTCAAGTGTATGATTATCTCCTATAGGATGTCCTCAATTTGGATAAAGCAACAGTTTGCTTTTCAATGAACCTCTCTTGCTGATTTTCAATTAGGTTTGCCTTCAGTATCTATCGCTTCATGGTACATACGGCAAGAAGATAACTTATGCACACAACTCTGGTTCTCGATAGTGATTCCATGAAGTAGCTACAAGAAACAGACCGACAGCATTGTAAAGGAGGGACAGTGGAATTCAGAGACCTCTCTGCAGAGCCTACTGTTCCCATGTAACAATATATATTGAGATGATCATTTGTTCTGAATCTGAGATATTCAGTGAACAGCTTGCAGCATATTTGGTATACTTCTCAGAGAACTGAGTATCCAGTTCAAGTCCCAGTCAAAACACTAGACGATCCAAGTGATACACATCTTAAATAGGCTGAAATGTTTATCTCCAGTTCTACTTTCCATTATACATTAAAAAAATGTTATTTTGATAAAGTCACAGTGATATTTACTGATGGCGTCTTGAGCACAATTTATTGCTCATAATCATATCAAAATAAAACTTTTATCCATATTGGAATTGTATTCTACCACACTACCGAAGTTTTATCCTTATATTACATTAACAGTTTTTGTCTAGAAATCACTCATATGGGTGAAGACAAAAATGAAGTGCGTCGGTAGCACAGTGGTTAGGACTCTCGCCGACCATGCATATGGTCCGGGGTTCGAGCCCACGCCGACGCACACCTGATATCTATGGTCGGCCTGCGAAATTTGGGCTACCGATAGCATATGCTGAAAATTCCATACTTGTACCAAAAATACGGTATGGAATCAAGCTGTAATCAAAAATAAAATAAATACTGTCAGTATCGAGACTACTTATATGACAGAAAGGCTAAACTAACTCGCTCGGTGTTTCGGGATTCATTGTATATATTACGTATTTAGACTATCCATCTCACTAACACTAGGATATATGTTACTGCTTTGTCAGATGAGTTAGACTATGTTTCTACTATTTGAGTAAATGTCAATATTATCATCTCATCTCCGCACCACAGTAAGGCATTACTCACTCCAGACACCAGGAACACGATGCGATTTTCTCCGAATTCGTAAGCGTTTTACATAGACTATCAACATCCATATCTATTTCCTTAAAAACCAATTGCTTGTCCACATGTAATCTAGGTGAAACCATTATGCATATAATTGACGGGATGACATCAACCAAATTATTTCAACCTAAAGTAGTTAAGGGAGTAACAACAGCAGCATAGAGAATGTCATTTGAAGAGGAAACGAAAGCTTAAGTGCAGTCATGGAAAGTGATGCCAATGAACTAAGTGTACTCTCCACTGAAGTCCCTTGATCCTGTCGGAACGCATTGAATAAATAATACGCAGCTACTCAACTCACGGTGGGACTAGTGATTGCTAGGTGAAAAGATAACGTAAAGAAGTCACAGAAACGAACTGATTTATATATATTTAACAATGTAATATTAATTATATGAATACACGAGATAATTTACAAGTCCCATGTGATAAGATAGAGACCACATGGGACTAACAAACAGTAGGTAACACTTCCCAAATTTAGATTCATTTATATATATATTTCTTTTGATGACATCACTCAACGTAGGGGAAGAATAGTGATTATTGTTCAAAATCGAATAATACGGAGTAATTGGGAGAGAACGAAAAGACAACAACAGAGAAGATGAGACAAAGACTATATAATAAATAGTAGTAGAATTAGCCAATGAAAACTGTAAGAACTAACAAAATAGGAGACGACTGTAATCATAACAATGAATGTAAACTTGGAAACGCTAACAGATTCGAAGTCTAAACTATTGTGTTAAAGAATGAATGTATAACAATAGTGAATGGGTATAGATACACATATATATATATAGAGAAACATAAGACGGTGAATACCTACCTGAACGCCATAAGAACAATCACATCACATCACAACTTAACACAAATTAAGAAAATCAAAAGGAGATTTTCCAATACAAATCAACCTTAACATAAGCAAGCAAGATTGAAATAGGTATAAGAATAGAAATGTAAGAGTAGGACAGAATGATGTTACAGAAAACACCAAACTTTTTAATAATACAAGGGATGAGGGCAGATGTGTGTACTAATGATTAACTAAGACTGACAGTAATAACAATGATACAAGAGATGCAAGCACAATATACATACAACGTAACAGCCAAAGAATTAGAATGTATACACAACAAATAGAACTTGGTATATATACTCAGTGTGACGAACCCAGATATAGTCTGTAGATCAATACAGGGTAACAATGTATGTATGCAGGACAAAGTTGGTAATCAGATTAACTTTTTTACAAGACAGCAACACACTATATATTGTGAACTTTGGCATGTGTGAATGTCAAGCTGAATTTTGAACAGAATGACACAAGCATATAAACAATAGATGACAAGATGTATACAGTTTGATTCGTAAGAATTAATAATAATTGGTAAAGCGTATTGATAATTATTGTCGCTAGTACTACTATAATTCTTTAAGTAATGTGATAACACCAACAGATCAGAAAAAATACTGAACAGGGAAAAGAAAATGAACAAAACAATTTATATGTATACATATATAACAGATTTCCCACATTCGGGTACACATACATTGAAGGGCAAAACAGAAAAGCGTACGAAGGAATAATCAATGCGCGTTATTTACTTACAACAGGAATAAATACCAACTGCATACAATTGAATACTGTACATATTTGCGTTAGGATGAACAGACTAAAGAACAAACAGTAATAATTCACATAAATATTGAGTGGGAAGAGATCATAAGGACTAGTTATGTAACAGTACATGTATAGGTACAAATGATATATATATATATATCGCCAACGAAGCACAGCCCAAGCGGGTATACGAATAGAGATCTATCCATATCACAATGTTGCATATGATACATACCGAATGAGTCTGAGCATAAAGACATTTACATTAAGAAAAAGAAAACAAACAATGCAGCTAGTTCATAGTAGAATTGGTAACAGATAACATTGTGAGTGTGAACGATAGAGAGAGAGAGAGAGAGAAAGCAAACAGGAAAACATATAAATACATAAAACGACCCTATTGGGTTAAACTTTTTACATAAACTGGTATCCATATAAGAAGGGTTGAATAATTGATTGATGTAGAAAACAAAAGAAAGACAACAATGAAAACTAGCAATCACAAATAGAAGGAGCAAAACTACACTAACTAATGAATGCGTCGTATGTGTATGCAATATAATATACGTCGATACAAGAAGAAAAAGCAACAAAGAAACACTGTTCAAGTTCAGTTCAATTTCGTACTACAATTGATAGATCACACATGTATACATTGTAAATTATGTACGATGGTTGGATTTTTCACTTGGTTTATGATTTGAATTCACAGTACTGCTATTGTTGTTATTGGAGGTGGTGTTACTATTATTAGTATTACTTGTGGTAGTAGAAGTAGTAGTCATAGTAGCAGCAGCAGTAGACTCATTTTGTTGACTTGTGACAGTATTACTTTCTGCATTCGATGTTGACTTGTTAGTAACTGTTGTAGTACCTGTACCATTACTACTACTATTGTTATTCTTCGAATTGTGATTGGTTGAAGAATTAGTTGGTGGAGATGTAGACGAACCTTTGACAGAGTTATTTCCGCTAGTGTTATTGTATTTCTCTAATTTAGCTATTATATGCTTACCATAATTGTATTTACGTAATGTATTCTGCATTGGACGTATTCTATTGATAAGTACACGACGTTGTTCAGCATCAGCCAATTCTAGCATACGTTGGACTACATAATTTGCGTACTGATCTTTCATCATATCTACCAGAGATGATGATACATTATTATTTGTTAGTGAAGCATCACCGCCATTGACACCAACATTGGACACTGGATGTAGAATTTCTTCGATTAATAGAGCTCTTTCAGAGGCTGCAGCATTGGCGATAGCCTTTTCCATAACATTTGATGCAAATTTATGCGAGCTTAACGCGCATACACGACCACGTAAACTTTGTATAATGCGTGATTTATCTTCATTTGAACCATGCTCCAATACATGCTACCACAATTAAACAGGTAAAAACATTAGCTTTTCTCGTAAGAAATTATTATTTCTGTTTTCAAAAAATAAAAGATAAACTTTTATTGCATTGATTGTTTTTTTTGGCGTGATTTTTTTGTTTACTTAAACTAAACTGAAACTCAAAAGCATACATATTCCGTGACTTCGCAATGATGAAACATATATATATATATATATATATATATATATATATATCTGAAATTAGGATGAAACAGCTCTTTAGGGTTTCATTTCCTTCTTTCCTTCTAAGTGAAAAAAAATCATCCTGCAATCAGTATTGATTTAAAACAAAGACTAGTAGAAAAGAGAAGATAACCACACAACTGGTTGTTAATTTCTTTTATATACGCGAACTGTGTTATTCTCAGTGGAACTGAAAATAAGCCAAGTTTAATGTTACATTTGCATAACGACGATGATGAAAGAGGTGTAATCAAATCCCAACATATTAATATTTACACTAAGGTGATGTCTGTTTCTTTTTTCTAATATATTAAAATACACACACACACCACGTTGTTTTAAAATGTATGCACCAGTAGTAGTAAGACCAACACGCATAACATAAATAATATAACAACATAATCAACTGGTAGATGGATTTGTCCACAATCACCGCCGGTCAGTAACACTGTAAAAAGCCTTTATGCATGAATTAATACGCTCTTGGAAGTGCGATCAATGTTCAAAATCGCTAAGTGTTCATAAAGCAGTGTAGAAAGACTTACTTGTTAGGTGAAGCATAAAAACATGAATATCCATTCAAGTAAGCATAATAACAGCAATAATAGACAGATGTACAAAGTAGACACAGCCTAACAGATGAATTATGCCGAACTATGAGGTTTGTGCAGCATGTTTTTGTGAATTTGTTTTAAAAAACAAACAATCAGTGATTACTTAAATAAAATCTAACCCTTAGTTATGATATAAACTAGATAACAACTCCACAAAGAAAAAGAGAGAGAGAGAGAAGGAAAGGTAAGTAGTGTTGTACCGATGCGTAAGAGGATACAAGTTATTCACAATTAAGAACAGTAAATGAAGATTAAGAGAACAGCTTGTGAGTAATCGGAAATTTACTCTAAAGTGGTTTTTATTTGAGAATAGTAACTGAGTCAATATTATATTCACATTTACTGCAAATTTATCTACTTCATCAGGATGAAAACAGGAAGACAGACCTGGTATGTAAACATTTCCATAAAATCGGAGGTAGTTTCATCTTATAGATGCTTTTCAGCTTTTAAGAACAAACAAAGAAAAACGTTTATTGCATTCACAATTGGAACAGACTTATCGGACAGATATTCGGAAAATGGCACAGAGAAAGCATAACATAAAACATTATGTTAGCAATGATGGAATGACTCTGTCTGTATAAGATTACAGTAATTAAAATAGCGTCTACTGAGTGATCATTGAATGATGAATATTACAAAAATATAATTAAGTCTTACTTGAATAACATAATTCCCATATTGATCTTTAACCAAATTCTCTACGCCTTTATGCAACTCATCTAAGATAGGACGCGTTTGTTCTGGCAAACAATGCTCCAAAATACGCTGAATCACTCGACAACCATAAGGATGTGATGAAAGCAAAACAACCTAAAGATGATATAGGGGAAAAGTAGTGTGATAAATATCAACTTTAATAATTATAATACAAAATATATGTATTCAAGGATGTGTTAAGTAAATAGTTAGTGCATTTAGTCGTGCCACAAAAAAAAAACAATCTCAGCTTGAAGAATATTACGCAACTATGGGATTAGAATTCTGCATCAACTCAGATTCTCACTTTATCTTCAATCATTACCTAATAGAAAATATCAGTCTAAAAATTAAAGCATAGAGGTTCATTTAATTTTATTCGAATGGCATCACCGAAACACGAGTAGAGCGAAGTTATACGCCAGCAGCGACCGAGTACTTTACTCCAAAGAAATTCAAAATTCGCAATAATAACAGATGGCTTTCACATCAGTTTAGCGCATGACATTCGGGTATTTCACATGATGTGTGTTTCGTTCAAGTCTCAGCAGGGATACCATAACCCATTTTGATAAGTAGGTATATCTTGACCACAAGTCCCAAATGGAGTGAAACGCGCGTCTTCGATTTCATTGCTAACTGCAACCAATTAAATAGAGATCTCAGATAGCCTGACTGAAAATACAATATTCGGTACATCTTAAGACAGATGATTTCAAAATAATTTAATCTCAAATATTGTGAGGAATACAGGTTTTACATCAACTTGCAAAAATTTTCTTATCGAAATACCTCTTAAGACAACATACAAATTTCGAGTAAATACTTTCAGTGTCCGGATATCACCACTTTATCATACAGACTGGTAATAAGTTCTTATCAGGAATGATATTACTAAGCGCCAAATCAGTCTTGTCTGTCCACAGATTACAAAATGGACGATGATAGTCGACGCCAAAAGTTAGTAAACTCCTAATTTCACCAGCAATCTTGTCAATGTACACAAAAATATGTCATTCGGAATATCTGGAAGTTAGTAACTATGACACTACCTCTAGAAGTTTTTTCTTCCATATACGGTAGAAGGGCTAGATGGAAGTAGTCCGCAAATGATCATCATCAAATGTGAGTGTTATGATGGGCAGTATGTTTAGTTGATATGTGAACACCATGCACAGTACAGATTTGTATACCATTTTTAAACACCTCACAAAAAACTCAATTACTTAACAGATAGTACACAGTGACTTTACCAACAAGGTTATAATAATTCGCTTTCATTGTGAGACAACTGCAATACATTTGTCAAGTATGAAGCTGCAGCTCACATTATTGATTCTCTCTGATATAACAGAGTGATATAGTGGCCAAAAAGTAATCCACACTGCAAACAGATGTTATTCAACGACCACTTGCACTAACGCAATCGGCACTGAGCTATACATATTGAGTGAGAGCCAATTTGACATCGAGAAGTCGGTTGGTATAGTAAGGTTCAAAATTCTTGGTTCAGTAATTAGGAGTCGAGTACCTACATCAGTGAGCGATAACTCTATATTGACAAATTATTCGTTGTAGAGATATAGTGAATGTTCAGAAGAAATATTTGGTTGAGGAAAAAATGATTAACAAAAAAAGTAAACACACTGAGAATGTTTGTGATATATATCACAAACATAGAGATAGGAAATAGAAAAACATACCTGACCGCGAAAAGCTGAGATAATGAAATCAAGCTCTGCAGGTGGAACGCATTCAATACACTTTTGAATCACATGATTTCCATTTTGATCTTTAACACACCTAGTCACATATGGTCTTAATTCACTAACAATATGTATTTTTGCTTCAGCAGGTACAGATTCCAGTGCTTTTTGTATAACACGACAGCCATACATTTGTGTAGCGAATTCAACTACATGACCTTGCAGACGTTGAGATAGATGCTAAAGTGAAACATGAAACTGTCTATTGAAAAAGATTATATGAGCACGAAATATATTTATAATGAATTAAACAGTGTGCTGAATTTTCAAAGAGAGATTATAAACCATCAATGCAGTAGCTGCATGCTAAATGTTTAGCGTGATGAACTACACATACACTGAGAAGTTTCACATAATAAACATTGACTTAAAAGTGCTCCAATGACTCACTGACTGACTATCAACGTAGGATCTGTGATGCGATGGCTCAAACGGTAGCCCATGAGGAGTGGAACGATGCCTATACTTTGGAATGACATACGGCCAACACTAACGAGGACTAATCACCACCGACAGGAGAAATCTAAAGATAGGCTCTTTAACTTACCTCAACCAGAACCTTATGAACTATACATACCAAAAGCATGCCAGGCATTCATTACTCTCAAATCTACATGGAGACCTACAGCGCTTAACACAAGGAACAAGATACGGATATGTAACATTTATATCAAGTCAGACTGGCTGACTGAGTATCAACGTAAGACCTCGCACACAAGTGTAACAGTAACAGCTGACACACTCAATATATCACACAAACGTAGACAAAAGAGTTAAAAAAGAAATTCAAAAGAACTATAACAAACAGAAATTCGTAGGAGAGATAATAGTAGTATGCAGAAACATTAGGGTTTAGTGGATATGGCAGATCACAAAAGTGAATGCATCTGTGCCATTGACAACCATTTTGAGCCACTAGTATCACTAGTATATAATCCAATCACTGGATGAGACATCTGGCCTTTTCATATCTTTCATTTCCAATGGCCATGTCTCACGGTCATAAAGGGAGACAGAGAGAACTGTTGAGTAGTACACACATCCTTTAATCGATAGTCGGATATCACATCTACTGCAGGAATGATGTAAGTTCGTAGGTGCCGAACGAGCCCTTCTGTGCTCGACAGCTTGGTTGCCTTGCTATTTTATTTGTGTCGGACACTGCTATAGTAGAAGAAACAACACGGGTAATATAAATGACATATCTTTTTTTTTTAAATAGGTCTAAAACATGGAAAGTTACTATGCTCAAGGTTTAGTGACGACTTTAGACAGTTCAGTAAAATACGGTAATTTTTCATGGTTGCATTTACGCCCGACCATCCTGTTTTGCTAGATTTCTTTGCACCCTCAAATTCCACTTTTAGAAATAATATTATACAAGGAAATGATTAGGTCAGCGACCTTTGACAAGTATATAATTAGTTCTATATAAATATCTTCCGATTTAGTCCGTCTCTCTCGGTGACTAATTTTCCAACACTATACAAAAGTGGAAGATAAGTAAAACAGAGCAACGCTCCAATAATATTTGGAGTAACGACGAGTTATGATAAGGCCATCAAATTTCATGCTTGAAAGAGTATTAGTTGTGAACATAAATAAAAACGATAATGTCAGGAAATTACCTCTTTCTGTTCCTTAGTTCCAAACTCGAAAAACTTTTGAATCACATAATTACCGAACACATCAGTCATTAATTTGCCTGAATGTGGTAATATTTCATTGAAAACTGAATTCTTTTCTGCTGTAGTAGCTGTCTCTAGCTTCTGTTGTATGAAACGAGATCCATGTTGGTCACGAGCGAATTCAACCATATGATCACGCAACTCAGACAAATGCATATGCTGAAAGCGTGCACTAGAATTACGAAAATCTTCGAGAAGTTGACTACGACTAGAGACAGTTGTAGCGACCAGTGGGGTAGACGTCGTTATGTTTACACCTGGAAGTCATATTGATTTTAAAGGTTATACATTAGAAAAGGCGGGGAAATTTTCAATTATTGGCGAAAACATTTTTTTCTTAAAATTGAATGGCATCAAAAACAACCAAAATAGGTGACATTAACAAAATTTTTTAGAATATACAATTTTAGTCTAACATACCAACAACTGAGCTAGGTCTGGAAGAAGCAGTACCAGATAAAGTCAAAGGAAGTGGTGAAAGCAATGGAGCTGGAAGTCGCTGGTTGATGTTTTGATGTGACTGCAGAGCGGCGGCATAATTTGGAGCTTGTTGGACAGTTTGAGGATGAACAGCAGACAGTAAACCAGGACTACGACCAGTAACAACAGGCATGAGAGGCGGCGGAACCGGAGCTCTATTTCCTAAAAGAGCCGGGTGGTTCACTCCATTAGGCCGAAGGTTAGGGTTGGGACCCATACCAGGCGGTGGTGTGGCAGTAACAGCTACACCTGACGCAGCAGCAAAGGCGGCAGCGAAAGCACGATTCTTATGCATCGACGCTGTAAAATGAATAGGTAAGACTAAGAATTAAGCAGTGTAAAAGTACACCGAAACAAATTTAAGATTTGAGAGAAGGTACGTATCCACTGTAGGAAACTTAATTTTGAGCCACACTAATACGATTCACCAAGCACCATCAGAGTAGATGCTGAGCCACACTTGATGCATAAAATCTAACGGTATTAAGTAAATGCATAAATTGATAGAAACGCATTCAATTCATAGTAAGGAAACAATACTGGACAACTCGCTATTTAAATCAGTCGAGAATGACTATTCACATCGGTGATAAAAGATTGTCAATTAAAACTTTACTAACAAACTAAATAAATGAAAATGTACGTCTTAAGAGCAAATAAAGCCACTTATATTTTATTGAGTATCATGTTTGAGACTCTTTCCCGACCAAGAGATGACCTTGACGTGGTGGTGGGGCTTGCATATCGCAATGACCCAACAAGCTACACTGGCTGGAACTAATCTTTCTGCAGGTCCCATTCTGCCAGAATGGTTTTTAGGATGGCGATTAGACTAAAAGTAGTTACCGGTATAGTGAGTTTTTTTTGCATTGTCTGTGGGCAAAGTCGTACTGCTGGGGAAGAGGAAAGTAACAAAAGTAAGGTGTTACTCTCAGATGACCAGCTTGCCAGCTGGGCTATCTCTCCACTCTGGAGAGAGGCGATTAGAAGAGGTCAACCCCAAAATTGTATTTTCCAACTTACCCTAAGGTTGTCCGTAACGGGCGGTAAGTTACTAATACGGAACCAATCCAAGAAGCCAGTTCAGGCAGGCCGTGTATGTGATCAGCCCCAAGTTGTCCCTTGCGCTCTGCCGTCACGCAACACTAACTGTTTTTTCTGTTTCAGGTACCCCAAGAATCAATCAACCTCCACGATGTGGGCGGCTGGGAAGTAACAACCGCCCACAAACCTCCAAAAGCAAACAAAGCCCTACCTATCATCATTCTTCAGTTAGTTGAAACTCTTTGGTGTATATAAATAAAGCTTTGATATGATCATCACTCCAAAATTATTCTTTTATTAATCACCTGCTGACGACACAGTGCCTTAACCTTCTGCTCATAATTAATATTTAAAATGTGCCTGATAAGCAAATGCCAGTTATATATATATATATATATATATATATATTGAAGAGCTTTTATCACCGGTTGAAAACGAAACCCCATCTAATCAAAATAATGCTTGAACTTGCCATCGAAATTGAATGGGTATGGAGCAGGCGATGAAAATCCAGCTGATACAGATAATGGTGGTCTTTGTAGTCCTGATGGTGCTATCGGTGAAATATGCATAGTAACGGCGAGACAACCGGGAGGTTGAGAAACTGGCATACGACTGTAACTAGTTACATCTACGGCGATTGAATTTTGACTTCCACTTGCTTCAGGATGTAACAGAGTAACTGGTGGCAGCAAATTTATACCCTGGAAAGTGTTATAACATTAGAAGAAATACAGAATTGTATAAGTTGAAATACTGATTCACACAAATTTGCAGGGGAAACATCGATATTTCTAAATAACACAGAAATCAGTAAACATTAATAAAAGAATATATATAACATTTAAAAATTGCTTACATTAGGTACTGAGAAACTGCCAGGAGCTAACCCAGCAACAACTGAACCAGATGAATATAAACCACCAAAATAATTGGACGAATTTGAGACACTAGCAGTAAACGGAGCGACTAGAGATGTTGATGAAGCAATTGTAGCAGCAACAACAGCACCAGAACAGTTAGAAGAATTATTCGAGGTAACACTATTGTTGATGACAGAGGAATGACGTTGTTGTTGTTGTGCAGCATTCATGAGTTGTTGGGCTTGGAAGAAAGCGAAAGCACCTGCAGCAAGACGAGATTGGTCTATAATATTACTGCCGTTAGCAGGTGCTATACTATCAACAACTGCATTAGGTGTCGATGTCCCAACACAACCTGAATTATTTGCCACACCATTTGCTAGCTGCTGCATGATCATGAATGCCACGTGGTTCCACTGAGGCGCTGCAATGAAAAATTAGAGGTGTTTAACAATATTGCCAACTTGTTATGCACAATATCTACTGGTAGTGCAGTGTTAGCTGCAAAGGGGTTATCTCGCACGAAACCTTAAGTTGCACAGTTTATTTAAAGTAATTAAATAACTCTTAGTAATTGCCTGAATCATGTAGAGGAATACTACGGGGAAAAACTGGACTCCATCAGTGGTATCTACACTAACATTATTGCACGGCTGTATCTCTACTGCCCTTAGTTTTCAGTTTATAATTCGATATTACTCAACAACCACTTGCAATTCCAAGCAGTTGGCAATGACTGAGAGACTGGATTCAACAGAGAACTTTGCACCGATGTGCAGCAGTTCGAGTCGCCACACTCCATGTAACACACAATGCAGGAGAAGAAAGTAGAAGAAATGCATAATAGAGACAGTAAACAGAGGTGTGAGACAAAAGAATAATAGTAATATAGTTTTATTGGATATTATAAGTCACAAGGAGTGGATACATCTCCACCAGCCATTGAGAACGATTTAGAGGCATATCACCAGTTGTTTCCAACCATTAGTTTTTACCGTCCCGAGGACCCCAACCAGGAAGTCTACACCTTCCTACGTGACTTAAACTAACTGCTAACTGAGTAGTACCATGTTTTGGTTTGACCTCCTCTAGCTCTTTTCCAGCCTGACCCTATGTCAGCTAACATCGCCCGTCGAGGAAGGCGATGACTAGGCATGCGTAACACATTTCCTAACCATCTCAGTCGGTGTAACTTCATAGCCTTGTCGTTTGGTTTTCCCTCCTTACCTAACAACACTCGACGCCTAAACTTAATACTGCTCACCTTATTATACCACGTAACACGGGAGATAGAAGGCAGACACCTATGATCAAAGACAGCTAACCTTTTCATGTCTTCCACTCTCAATGGCCAGGTCTCACAGCCATGAAAGGGGACTCAGCGGACTGCTTAGCAGTTCACCCGCCCCTTGGTCGATAGCCAGATATCATATATACGCCCGAGATGGCGTAAACTCGCATATGCGAAAATAACCTTCTGTATCCTCCACGCCGACCATGCACATGATCCGGGGTTCGATCCCCAGCCGGCGCACTCCTTTACCTCACTGAGTCAGAAGTAATGCTGGTAAAGAGGAAAAGTTGGGCATGAGGCTAGCAACCCCATCCTGTAAAATTAAAAATGAACACTGCTACAGAAACTTCAAGCCTTTAGCTTGGGGCCCTATGTTCCACTGGGAACGTGAAGGAGATTTTATTTTTTTTTTTTTTATCCTCCATGCTGAAACTTCGTCAGCGATCAACCCGATGGCGCTGGCTGATGCGAATTCCCAAATAAGTGAAGTGGTCAACACGCTCTACCACTTCACTCCCTATTTCTAAGCTGGGAGCCGATGCAGTCCAGACTAGTCCCGTAGCATCATCTTACATTTGGCGGTAGCGAATCGCATGTCAAACATTCGTAGATTGCAGCTCAAGGTGTTCAGAAGACTGTATTTTGTCAGTATTTCCACCTAGGACTATATAACCTGCATATTCTAAGTCAGCGAGATTATTCCCTGGTAGCAAGTCAATACCCGAGTCGCTCAAGTCACTTAGGGCCAAGTCCATTAGTATATCTATGATGAAATTGAATAGAAATGGTTCAGGGTTCGTTCCCCGACCGATGCACACCTGACATCAGTGGTTGGCCTGAAAACTTTGGGCTATCGATATCACATGCTGAAAATTCCATACTTGTATCTAAAATACTGTGTGGAATCAAGCTACAATTAGAAGAAGAAGAATAATGGGCATCCCTGACGGACACCATAGATGCTAGAACACTTATTCCGGCGAGCTCCTAATTCAATAAGGAGCGAAAGCTGCACAAAAGGAAACTTACGAAAAGTCTCCGCAAGGACCGTGAACAGTGGTGGGTGACAAAGGCGAAAGAGATGGAAAAAGCATCGGCGATAGGCAACACTAGGCAACTCTTTAGACTCATCAGGGAAACGGGTGGGAGAAGGTAAATCATAAGTGAGACTATTTCTGAGAAAAATGGCTCCTTAATTAGCTCTCAGGATAGACGCCTTGAACGCTGGAAAGAACACTTTGAGGACAATTTAACTTGCCTACAGCCACACTGAACCTCCCCGACATCCACACACACCCGAATGGGATATAGACACTGGTCCGCCGTCTGTAAGTGAGGTCACAAAAGCTATCAGTAATTTGAAACGAGGCAAAGCGGCAGGACCCGACGGAATTATTCCGGAGGTGTTTAAATATGGGGGTGACATACTAGTTTGTAGATTAACTGAGGTACTAGGCAAAGTCTGGGAATCAGAGACAGTGCCATCAGACTGGGGTAAGTCACTTATTATACCGATATTCAAGAAGGGAAACAAGTCCTCGTGTGATAATCATAGGGGGATCAGCCTAACGAACATAGTCTCTAAAATCCTAGGCTCAGTAATCATGCATAGACTAAGCAGAACTCGGGAGGAACAGACAAGGGAAAATCAAGCAGGCTTTAGACCAGGTAGAGGGTGCATAGATCATATCTTCACTCTTCGACAGATTCTAGAACATAGACACACTTTTCGGCGTCCAACAATTGTCATATTTCTTGACTTGAAGGCGGCCTTCGACTCCGTGGATCGAAAGGTACTATGGCAATGTCTGACTGTGAAGGGAGTGCCAAGTACATTGCACTAATCAAGGCACTCTATTCAAACTCACGTAGTCGTGTAAGGGCTTATGGGGAATTGTCATCTGAATTGGTAACAACCAGTGGTGTCCGACAGGGATGTCCACTTTCCCCATTTCTGTTTAACTTCATCATAGATATGCTGATGGAAGTATCCTTAACTGAACGTAATGACTTAGGAATCGACTTGTTACCAGGGAATAGTCTTATGGACTTAGAATATGCAGATGACATAGTCCTGTTAGGGGAGGATGCTGACAAAATGCAGAGTCTTCTGAACACCTTGAGCAGCAATCTTCGTATGTTTGGCATGCGATTCGCCCCTACAAAATGTAAGATGCTGCTACAGGACTGGACCACGTCAACCCTAACTTAGTGATAGGGAGTGAAGTGATAGAACATGTTGACCACTTCACCTATTTGGGAAGTTGTATTAGCACCAACGGACTGATTGGCGATGAAATCTCAGCACGGATCCGAAAAGCTCGAGCTGCTTTCGCTGACTTACACCATCTCTGGCGTAGGCGTGACATCCGGTTATCAACCAAGGGACGTGTGTACTGCTCATCAGTTCGCTCCGTCCTTCTCTATGGCTCTGAAACATGGCCAATACGCGTTGAAGACATGAAAAGGTTGACTGCTTTCGATCATAGATGTCTGCGATCTCTGTCTCACGTTAGGTGGTTTAATAAGGTAAGTAATGTTGACGTTAGGCGTAGAGTGTTGGGCAAAGAGGGAAAATCAATCGACGAGGCTATAAAGTTACATAGACTAAGATGGCTAGGTCACGTGCTGCGCATGCCTAACCACCGCCTCCCCCGACGGGCATTACTAGCTGATATAGGTGCAGGTTGGAAAAGAGCCAGTGGTGGCCAAACAAAAACATGGCCTCATCAATCCATGAAATCCTTGACAGTTAAACTGAGTCGGTCAGGTAGGGAGATGCAGACTTCCGGGTTGGGGCCCTCGGGACTCTAGGAATCAATGGCTGGAGACAATAGGTGACATGGCTCAAAATCGTTGTCAATGGCCAGCGCAGATGTATTCAGTCTCTGTAATCTTTCATATTCCTTTCTACCATTACCCATTCTGTTTCACTCTTATACTTGTCAAACTCTATTGATTCTCTTCACTCATCTTCTTGTCTACCTCTGTGTGCTATTTGGAACGTGGCAACTCGAACTGGTGCACTTCGGTGCCAAGTTCTATGTTGAATCCAGACAGACAGAGAGACACCACTTCAGGTGACAACTCGCCGTAAGCCCCCGCCTGGCTGACCCCATGAGTTCGAGTAGAGTGCCTTGATCAATGCAATGTATTTTCTCACCATTCACTTGACAACCAAGCATCGCCAGAGAACCTCTCGGTCGACAGAATCGAATTCCGCCTTCAGGTAGGTCAAGAAATATAATGATTGTTGGACACCAGTAAGCATGCCTCTCTTCCAGAATCTGTCGAAGGGTGAAGATATGATCAGTACACTCTCTTCCTGGTCTAAAGCCTGCCTGGTTCTCTCGTATTTGTGCCTCCCGAGCACCGCTTAGTCTACGCAATATTTTTGAGCCGAGGACTTTAGTTAAGCTAACCCCTCTGTGATTAACACAGAAAGACTTGTCTCCCCTCTTGTATATGGGGATAATCAGTGACTTACACCAACCCGACGGGACCTCCTCTGATTCCCAGACACTCCCTAGTATCTCAGTTAATGCAGACAGTAAACTGTCTCCATTGTACTTACATACCTCTGGAATCATTCCATTAGGTCCTGCTGCTTTGCCTCGTTTCAGATTGTTGACAGCTTTAGTAACCTCAGTTATGGACGGAGGACCTGTGTCTATATCCCATTCAGGGAGGTGTTGGATGTTTTGGCAGGTTAAGCGTGATTGTAGGCCAATTAAACTGCTCCTCATAGTGTTCTTTCCAGCGTTCCAGTCGTCTATCCTGAGAGCTAATTATGGTGCCATTTTTCTCAGAGATTGTTTCACTTATCATCTGCCTTATAAGTTGGCAATAAACTACATTCACAGCTATACTACCCAAACTTTGGTGCATGAAGTGAGATTTGAACCCGTGACTCATAGGCTGCCACTGATCGGCAACATTTATAACTTTTCTTCTTCACACTTACCACAACATGCTAGTGTAGTTTACAGACTTGCACATGTTTCTCCTTACATATATTTGAAGTCAGCGACACACTGTCTACTGATCTACCACAGAACTGAAAAACTTAGTTACCTGCTACATATATTGCATATATCAGACTTAATGATTGAAAGTCACTCGTTAAGGTGAAACGAATCAATCCATGACCATGCCGAAATTGGTATCAATAAAAAAGACTTACAGAATTCTGGAGCGAACATGATGATTACTTTAGAACAACTCGACGTTAATTACAAAGGGATGAATACCTTTAGGTTACTTTCTTGTAGAGAACCATTGGACATTCGAAAATTTCTTAACACAAAACTTTAAATTCATGCATAAGACAGAATACCATTATTAATAATAACAAGAGTATTAAAAAAATAATATCGAACCTTGTGAAAATGTTGGAGGAATTTGATTGCTATTAGTTGCACCTTGTGACATAAACATCGACATTGCCATAGCCATTGATTGTGGATCTATTATGCTAGTTTGAGGCGCAGACATATTATAAGTAGGTGGAAATGTATTATTTACAACACCAGATTCACAAAGCGAATTTCCGTCAAAACTTCCTGATGGTAACTGAGAGACCGATGATGTTGCTGAGACAATTGGGATTGAAGAGAGTGTTGGCGTTGTACAATTGCTTGATGGTGGTGTGTTAGCACACAAACCAGGAGGTGGCAAAATACCCGGATGCTTAGGATAACTTTCATTCACAAGCTGGGCTTCATTCATCTAAATAATATATTTTTAAAACAACAAAATGCCGATATACATAAAAATAACTGTACATGTATTATATAATTATTTTTCCTAGAAGAATCGTCGAAATTTCATTTACCTTTATTAATGAAACGAAAGGCACCCGCCCATTGAAAAGCGAGCTAGAGCTGACGTGGAGTCATGCTCCAGTTCAACTCAAGTAATGTTAAACCCATCATTTACGAGGGGCAGGATGCGGACCTTCAATAGTAGTGTCAAGTCAGTGCTTCTATATGGTTCACAGACTCGGTGTGTGTCACCGGCTGTTACAGACTTTCACCAACAGGTGCAATTAATCAGCACTGAAAATCAGATGGTCGGCTGGAAAAGATAAGCACCAAGTAACTCTGGCAACGAAATAATCAAAATACAACAACATATACACCAAAGAAAATGGAGGTGAATAAGACACACTGAGGAGACCGTCGGGTTGCCAAGTGGGACCCGAATAGGGAACGACTAATTGAGAGTGGTTCCGAGAGTGATATAGAGACTGTAAGAGCATGAAATGAGAGCAGAGTGAAATGGAGATGTGTCACTGAAGCCGCATGTTCCAATCAGAACCAAAAGGAATAATAACAATGTTAATCAGAAAGGATGCTAAGGAAGCAAAATACCGTCGGGTGGTAAAAGTTAGGCGCAGATCAAATCATCATTATCGAGCACAAATTACGACAGTAGTCAAATTTTTACCTCAACTACTCTTCCTTTGGAAGAGCCTACGAAAGAGTCGACTGTGATGTAATTTTCCAAACGCTTCAACAGAGCGCAGAACTGAGGACATTCATAATTCTTAGATAACACGTGGCAACTCGAACTGCTGCACTTCGGTGCCAAGTTCTATGTTGAATCCAGACAGACAGACAGACAGTAACACCTTTATGATGACGCTACGTGTCAAGCAATTCGCGACGGAAAGCACACATTGGCCTATTAAGTAAAAACAGGAGGGAGAACCTGAAGAGAAGAGAAGGCTTCAGGTGAATATATGCAAGACACAGGTGTCGAAGATACCCAACCAACACCAAACATCATGGACGGGAGAAATCCCCGCGAAATCGCCACTTTCACTTACATCACTAGCATCGTTTCGATTACAGGTTGAGCAAATGAGGATGCCAGAACGAGGGATGACAGGATGCAGAAAGAAAGATAAGTATATATTACTCTGAAATCTATGTTTAAATCTGCAGTCCTCAACGCAAGGAAAAAAAATGAATTTGTAATACAAATATCGAGTCAATGCTTCTATTTATCTCAGAGACCTTGCGTGCGTCTCATAAAAGCATTCCAAACAGACTACTATAGGTTTTCATCAATCAACAGCTGTTTTCGCTCGATCTTATAGATTGGAAGGATAAGCAACAAGGAACCACTGTGACAGAGAACCGGTCAATAACTAATTATCCAACAAACAAGAAGGAAACGAAGATGGTTTGGACATAAGTCGAGGAGATAACTGAGTGAAATGATACGCAAGATAGGTCATCGAGTAGGAATTGCATTCAATAATAACATGGTGGAGATCGTGTGTAGAAGGAATGAAAGCTTGTATGTAGTCGTAGAACCTAGGAAAGACGGTAGAAAATAAAACACAGTTGAGATGCGATGCTGAAGTCCTGTTCCACTCTGAACCCAAGGGTCGAATAAAAATAGTTAACTATTAAAATTCTTAACTAGTAGTTAATTACAATAAAACACTGAATATTACCTATATGTGTAAGTTTTTACCAACTTTTATTTAAGAGGCGATGGGTGATGATTGAAGGTGAAATGAAAATCTGGGCCACGGCAGGATTCGAACCAGAAGATCCGAATTGCTGGTTCGGTGCTCTATGAACTAACCCACGAGAAATGAAGCATAAAATTGATGTATGCTTCCATGCTACGAGTGGATGTAATGAACTAAGAAATGTACAATATAAAGAATTCGCATTATTTATTAGTTTAATCCCGCGAGCATAGGTCATGCAGTGAAGTACTAAGGTGTCGAACTACCAAACCATTAAAGATCACGCGTATTACACAATAACCAGTTTCATACAAGTCTATGACTGTGTCATATGGTCGTTAGAAGTTATTAGAAGTTTGTTCGTAGCATATCGACTGTTTATTGGAACTACAAAGTAGGCATACTTGAGATAACGTCAATATAACTAGGCCAGGAAATTATATCACTTAGTAAAATCTGAACCTACATTGACAATGCTAGCTGCGATATTTTACGGATATGAAACCTCTATCCACCTTGAAGTGGAGTGTAAGTGACAAAAAAATACTTTAATACCATAGGACAATTATTTATGGGGGAAAACTATTTGTTAGGGGTTGATGTCAAGTGTCAGGCAAAGGTAAATCAGTCACTAAAGTTGTTAAGCTTTATTGTTTCAGATGGTAAGGATATGTGAGGCATGCTGAATTCCTACCTTCAGAGCTATTTCGACTAAAGTAGAAGTTATAAATGAAGGAAGAAGGGTCAGAACAAAGCATGACACAAATCCATGATGACCATAACTACTACTGACGAGCAAAAGGCAGGCTTAAGTTAATACAGCAAGTATCTGGGCACTGTGTTAGAGTACAATTTCACAGTAATACAGCATTATTTATTTACTGATAAAACTACAGGTTTAAATCCCTTGGTCGGTCGCTAGAACAACACTAGTGGTCAAGAAAGGCTCAAATGCTTCGAAATTCTAAACAGCTACACCAATCATTTGTAAAAATTATATTTTTAAAGTCTCAGTGAAATTGAAATGAGTAATACCAACGTTTCGTTCGACAAACCCGTCCGAACTGCTTCACTACGCTAGTCGCCATTTTTCTCTCGCTAATATAAGGGGTACCTATTGTAAAATCAATCAAGTTTTATTCTGAGATTGAAGATTCCCCATCAGTCTTAACTTACCGATTAATTGATCGGACAAACCTGACTTTTAATTTTAGGTATCTACTTACGTTGTAACGAAAGTGCGGCAAACTGAAGTGTAGCATTTTTGTGCAAGATAATACGTTCTTTAAAATCTAGGTAGTATTGCACAAGGAAAAAAGGTAAGAGATAATTTTTTGAACTATCACATTAAAAGAATAAACTTGCAGTGTTTTTGAAAATATAATTGACAAAGAAAAAACTGAATAGAAAGACATCAAACTTAAATCTGAAATCGATACAACTTAACATACTTGAAATGGTGATCCAAAAGCAGAGACCTGGCCACCGATAAACGAAATAGGAATTTGAAAAGCCGTTGATGATGTAGGTAAAGCGCTGAGATTCGATGGATGCGTAATAATTCCTGAACTTTCAGACTCAGTTGACTGGCCATATAGGAAAAGAGGAGGAATAGTAAGTAATGCGTTCGCCATAGCTGTACTTGAAGGAGATGAAGGAAACAAACTTTGGACAGTACCATCTGATACCCCATTAATATCTGGACTACGAAAAGCAGCTGCACGAGAATTTATCAAAGCAGAATTCGACTGTGGAAACAAAGACGCATTTGACCTAGACATAGTGACACCAAAAGAATCGGACTGTTCCTGAAGCACTCGCTGATGTGATGCTTGTAACGGGTCAATTTCATTTGAAACTGGAGTAAGATTCATTCCAGATCCGAAAAGCATAGCAGGTTGTGTGTTCAAAGGAGACGAAGTTGAATTTGCTATAGATGATGTTACATTATGTAAAGAGGATGACCACAGACCTGAAGAAGGCGTATGAGCAACAAAATCTGGTCCCCCAGAATGACTGATATCATCAGTTTCTGGAGTGTTATACGGTAGATTAGTTGACTCTGAATCCTTGCATTCAGGAAATAAATCACGCCAGGAAGTTGTATTCTAAAAGGAAAACAATGGTATAAGCGGGGCGAAAACTGTTTGATAATCACCAAATAATTGTTTCCATATAACAGATTGCTACAGAATACTCCTTTTGTTTCATTCTCAATCAATCAACGACGTCCCAGGTTGTAGAATTTTCTACTGCGGTGTTTATAAAATATTTTGAGGTATCGATGTCCGCGTTTCTTATAAATTCAAAAGAAGATACCAAGGGAGTTGGCAACAGGCAATGAAGTGTACAAACATACCAAATGAACGTTTCTCACTGAGGCAAATGAAACTGCAAATTTCCTAGTTATTTCTTCGCGTTTTATACGTAGAATAAGTGAATGTATTGCTATGTGACATTGTTCTCTGTATAACATCATTGTTCGGAATAAAATACGTAGTAGTATGATTGCATTTAAAGCATAAAGGGATACATATTTGAAAGAAAATACTGAATGGTTAGAAAGATTTCACATAGAAATCAATATCAATCCCTTAATGTGCAACAGAATATTTCATCATAAGTAATACTTGTTGTTGACATACAGTCTAGACACTTGGAAAATTATCATTTAAATCGTCCACTGGATTCTGTCTTACAGTAATCATTAGATATGGATAGATGGCGAGAGTCGCAGGTTAGTCAATAATTTTTTCGTTCGAAAACCAACTCAGTAAAGGGGAGAGTAATTTACCCTAGATACGGCCTTATATCTGCTCAGACTTCTGGCATTCAATGTTACACAGCTAAACTCAGATATCACCTGAATGTACCCAAAAACTTCGGGCTATTGAACCTGATGAGAATTCATACTTCTTAAAACCGCTGGAAAACCTGTGGGGAGTACTGGACAGCCGCTTCGCACTTGCTAGGACTCGTCACAGTGCGCACCCCCACAGGGATTCCAACCCAGGACCTTCTGGTTACAAGGTGAGCCAGCCCGTAGACCATTAAGCCACTGGTACCCAATCCAATGGCTCAATACTTGAAAATTGATGTGATGCCCACTAGCGACTGGCCCTATTCAGGCAAGTTAACTTGGGGTTCTAGTGGGAGGCCGTGACCAGTAGGGTACAGCAAGTCGGAGGTGGGGCAGTGATTCACCGAAAAAGACATCTGGCAAGTGGTCGCGCTATGTCATGAATCAGCAGAAGTTAGAATTCATGGGTTGTAACCAGAGGGTCCCAGGTTCGAACCCTGGCGGTGGGTGCGTACTGATGAAGAGCCCCAGACTAGGACAAAACAGTTGTCCAGTGCTCCTTGGAGGTTTTCCGATGATTCTCTACGTGATTCCATCTAGTCCCGCGAATGAATGGAGAATGTTTTCAGCCACCAACCTAGAAGACATGGTTTAAATCTCTGTTGGGGTCACAGGAGCACAGATCAGAAATAACGAATGGATTTGAATGCTTTGTGTGTGTGTGATTACAACTGTAGCCGAAAGTGAGGCAATTATCTTACTACTGTTTCCTCAGAGCCATCCATTAATTAATTTTGTAAATGAAATAAAAAGAAACAGAGAAAGTTAGACCGATTTAGCAGAACTAAATTAGGGACTTTCCTAATCTAATAATGAAAATCTTGAAAAAGGAAATAACACCACCAGTAAATTATAACAAGATTCTGTGATAAAACAGTGAAAAGTACTAACCGCGAGGCCACAGGTTGCATCCCAATTCCACGGCAGAACTTCATTTTCAGTCCCATTGTCAATCCCTAGATTCAAGTGATTATGATTTTCATGCTCTTCGGTCGCGTCATCTCCTGTAGCAGAGCAGTTACCCACAGCTGCGTTCGCTGCATCTTGTGAAGGGTCAGGTAGCCAAACATGATGTGAGTTGTTTTGACGGGGCTCCCATATAGACAACAGGTCAAATGGAGCAATGTTATTACCTTCCTGCGAATGTTGGTTATTTTCTAACCTTGCAGAAACAGCACTTCCATTGGAAGGTGCACCAATGTGTCCGATTTGTCCAGGTAATGGGGTCATCTCCCCAGCACCTCCGCTGCCAACAAATGGATGTGCATCTCCACTGGCACCGCCACTATAGTTTACTCCGTTGGTATTGGTACTGAGAACACTAAAATTACCAGAACCACCACTGCAATGTGATTCTCCAAAACAAGAAAGTAGTTGAGAACCACTACTTCCTTCAGCTGCTGCGTCGCTTCCTAGTGTTGTACTTATCCGACGTTCGGCGCCAACAGCCCAAATTTGATTTGCACGCAAAGGACCGATTATAGAAAGATTGTGAAAGTGATGAGACAGATCAGAGCTGCATTCATCAATATTCTCTTTGGCCGACATATCTAAACACACGCCTGTCGAATTAGCACAATTAGAGGCTATATCAATTGCATCATCATCAGTTAAACAAAGACCATCAGGAAGCTGAGAGCTGCTATCTTGAAGAAGAGAAAGGCTGAGATCAGGCTGAAAAAGATGAAAATATTTATAAAAATTTGGTGGCTAATCTAAACTAAATGTGTAATAGTTGAAAACAAAATCTATTTTCTCTACATATATAAACAATAATGCTTGTCATTGATAACAGCATAAAGGAAACGACTGACAAGACTACAATAATGCAAGAGGATGCTGAGTAGTGCTTATTTATTCAGAGCGCAAGTGACAATGACTTGACCATAAGTAGTAAAGGGTCATAACACGGAAATGAGATTAAACAAATAACGACAAGTGATACTGGAATTTAGATCGATTTTCAGTCACACCAGCTACGGCCTTCCCATGAGTGATTTCACCTGTTTACCAAACTACATGGAGAGAGTAAATGTCTCTTAAAGGTTGCAGACGCGATAGTTGGAGGAATTGGTTTCATGTTCTGGCCTAGTCATCTTTATCTTTTTTTTCTATTCACTTACCTCTGAATCAGTCAATATTGCACAACAGAGTAAATTATAAATATTTTAAAGTAACAACTGAGAAATATTTACAATTCCAACAACAGCAATTCTGATTAGGTGGTTATTTTAGGTCCAACCATATCAGGGTGTTTCACTAAGTTGTTACCATGGACAATCATTCGAGATGGGTAGGTTGGGATTTCATTAATCTCGGCGGCTGGCAACTCTACCCGGTAAAATATAACCTTACCGCTGCTAAAACTTCAAAAAGCAGATAAAATGTTACTTTCCGCTGTAATCGCGAAGTCTTCAATGCCAAGACGGATGACTCTAGAAAATGCAAGCCTTCGGAAATCAATCCACCAAGAAATGTTTCATTGAAAGCGAAAATAAGCCGAGAAACATGGAGTTTCCGTACTACGTTTTAGGCTAGCTGACATTGCTAATTAGACTACAAAAGAAATGAAAAGATATGTCATAGAAGCGTTAGAAATCTGAGAGAGCAAATGGAATGGGAGTGGAGTTGCTGAATTGTCAACTGTTGTTAATAATCGAGAAGTACTTTTGCAACTGCTTCAACATCAGAGTGCAGAGCGAACATGCCTATAATCCTAATACATTAGCTTTAAGATGATGTCATATCCAAATTAATTCACAACAGAGATCTCACCGAGGCTTTGTAAATAAAGACAACAATAATGTGCTGTCTACTATCACCAATGACCTTTCTTAGTGTGATGCAATGGCTCAAACGGTAGCCCATGAGGAGTGGAACGATGCCTATACTTTGGAATGACATACGGCCAACACTAACGAGGACTAATCACCACCGACAGGAGAAATCTAAAGATAGGCTCTTTAACTTACCTCAACCAGAACCTTATGAACTATACATACCAAAAGCATGCCAGGCATTCATTACTCTCAAATCTACATGGAGACCTACAGCGCTTAACACAAGGAACAAGATACGGATATGTAACATTTATATCAAGTCAGACTGGCTGACTGAGTATCAACGTAAGACCTCGCACACAAGTGTAACAGTAACAGCTGACACACTCAATATATCACACAAACGTAGACAAAAGAGTTAAAAAAGAAATTCAAAAGAACTATAACAAACAGAAATTCGTAGGAGAGATAATAGTAGTATGCAGAAACATTAGGGTTTAGTGGATATGGCAGATCACAAAAGTGAATGCATCTGTGCCATTGACAACCATTTTGAGCCACTAGTATCACTAGTATATAATCCAATCACTGGATGAGACATCTGGCCTTTTCATATCTTTCATTTCCAATGGCCATGTCTCACGGTCATAAAGGGAGACAGAGAGAACTGTTGAGTAGTACACACATCCTTTAATCGATAGTCGGATATCACATCTACTGCAGGAATGATGTACGTCGGTAGGTGCCACACGAGCTTTTTGTATGTGTTGAGATTTTGCCAGTAATCAGTCTGTAAGAACTGATGCAAATTCCTAATCAAGTGATCGGTCCGGCAGTACGACATTTTATTTTACAGGGGTGAACCGAAAGACGAATATGAGAAGATTTCTCCTTAGAACACTGCATTTTGTCAGGATCTTCTACGACAAGAGCCAAAAACCCATGCTTTAAGTCTGGAAGACTATTCCCTGCCTGTCTGTTTTCGACATAGAACTTTGCACTGATGTGCAGCAGTTCGAGTCGCCACACTCCATGTAACACACAATGCAGGAGAAGAAAGTAGAAGAAATGCATAATAGAGACAGTAAACAGAGGTGTGAGACAAAAGAATAATAGTAATATAGTTTTATTGGATATTATAAGTCACAAGGAGTGGATACATCTCCACCAGCCATTGAGAACGATTTAGAGGCATATCACCAGTTGTTTCCAACCATTAGTTTTTACCGTCCCGAGGACCCCAACCAGGAAGTCTACACCTTCCTACGTGACTTAAACTAACTGCTAACTGAGTAGTACCATGTTTTGGTTTGACCTCCTCTAGCTCTTTTCCAGCCTGACCCTATGTCAGCTAACATCGCCCGTCGAGGAAGGCGATGACTAGGCATGCGTAACACATTTCCTAACCATCTCAGTCGGTGTAACTTCATAGCCTTGTCGTTTGGTTTTCCCTCCTTACCTAACAACACTCGACGCCTAAACTTAATACTGCTCACCTTATTATACCACGTAACACGGGAGATAGAAGGCAGACACCTATGATCAAAGACAGCTAACCTTTTCATGTCTTCCACTCTCAATGGCCAGGTCTCACAGCCATGAAAGGGGACTCAGCGGACTGCTTAGCAGTTCACCCGCCCCTTGGTCGATAGCCAGATATCATATATACGCCCGAGATGGCGTAAACTCGCATATGCGAAAATAACCTTCTGTATCCTCCACGCCGACCATGCACATGATCCGGGGTTCGATCCCCAGCCGGCGCACTCCTTTACCTCACTGAGTCAGAAGTAATGCTGGTAAAGAGGAAAAGTTGGGCATGAGGCTAGCAACCCCATCCTGTAAAATTAAAAATGAACACTGCTACAGAAACTTCAAGCCTTTAGCTTGGGGCCCTATGTTCCACTGGGAACGTGAAGGAGATTTTATTTTTTTTTTTATCATCCATGCTGAAACTTCGTCAGCGATCAACCCGATGGCGCTGGCTGATGCGAATTCCCAAATAAGTGAAGTGGTCAACACGCTCTACCACTTCACTCCCTATTTCTAAGCTGGGAGCCGATGCAGTCCAGACTAGTCCCGTAGCATCATCTTACATTTGGCGGTAGCGAATCGCATGTCAAACATTCGTAGATTGCAGCTCAAGGTGTTCAGAAGACTGTATTTTGTCAGTATTTCCACCTAGGACTATATAACCTGCATATTCTAAGTCAGCGAGATTATTCCCTGGTAGCAAGTCAATACCCGAGTCGCTCAAGTCACTTAGGGCCAAGTCCATTAGTATATCTATGATGAAATTGAATAGAAATGGTTCAGGGTTCGTTCCCCGACCGATGCACACCTGACATCAGTGGTTGGCCTGCAAACTTTGGGCTATCGATATCACATGCTGAAAATTCCATACTTGTATCTAAAATACTGTGTGGAATCAAGCTACAATTAGAAGAAGAAGAATAATGGGCATCCCTGACGGACACCGCTAGTCGTCACCACTTCAGGTGACAACTCGCCGTAAGCCCCCGCCTGGCTGCCATGAGTTCGAGTAGAGTGCCTTGATCAATGCAATGTATTTTCTCACTATTCACTTGACAGCCAAGCATCGCCAGAGAACCTCTCGGTCGACAGAATCGAATTCCGCCTTCAGGTAGGTCGAGAAATATAATGATTGTTGGACGCCAGTAAGCATGCCTCTCTTCCAGAATCTGTCGAAGGGTGAAGATATGATCAGTACACTCTCTTCCTGGTCTAAAGCCTGCCTGGTTCTCTCGTATTTGTGCCTCCCGAGCACCGCTTAGTCTACGCAATATTTTTGAGCCGAGGACTAAAAAAAAAATTAGTTAAGCTAACCCCTCTGTGATTAACACAGAAAGACTTGTCTCCCCTCTTGTATATGGGGATAATCAGTGACTTACACCAACCCGACGGGACCTCCTCTGATTCCCAGACACCCCCTAGTATCTCAGTTAATGCAGACAGTAAACTGTCTCCATTGTACTTACATACCTCTGGAATCATTCCATTAGGTCCTGCTGCTTTGCCTCGTTTCAGATTGTTGACAGCTTTAGTAACCTCAGTTATGGACGGAGGACCGTGTCTATATCCCATTCAGGGAGGTGTTGGATGTTTTGGCAGGTTAAGCGTGATTGTAGGCCAATTAAACTGCTCCTCATAGTGTTCTTTTCAGCGTTCCAGTCGTCTATCCTGGGAGCTAACTATGGTGCCTTCCTGGCATGGTAGGACCTACAGGTACATATGTTCCAGCCAGTGCAGCTTGTGGGGTCATCGCAATGGGCAAGCCCCACTACCACGTCAAGTTACCAGCTATCTGTCGGGCAGAGTATCCCCTGGTAACAAGTCGATGCCTATGTCACTTAAGTCAGTTAGGGTTAATATGAAGGAAATGTAGATGAATTTGACATACGTTAAAGAGACTTTCAATGAACATACCCTAGGTAGATCGCGATGTGGAACTCGAAAAGGAAACTACGAGTGGTACTTGGATCCAACGGTCACATGGAGATAAGTTGAAAACAGAAATGAAAGCTAGTGGGTAGTCTTGAAGACATTAGTAAGTGTTGCCAAGGGACCGAGTGCAATGTACCTGAGGCTGTATGTTCTTCTCGGGACGCGAAGAATGGACAATATAATAAAAACAGATTTAGTGGGTATACATTGCAAGTTATTTAAGCATGATTATAAACCCAAGTTAACACCTACTGAGCACAAGCTGCTATCGAACCTGGCTGCAACAAGATTTATGTACCTCCAATGAAACTGTTTTGTATTTCTTTATTACTCCTTTGTCTCACACCTCTGCTCACTGTTTCTATTATGCTTTTCTTGTACTTCCTTCTCTTGCTTCGCGTGCTACACGGAATGTGGCGACTTGAACTTCCGCACATTTGTGCAAAGTTCTATGTCGAAAACAGACAGACAGATATGTACCTCCATCCAATTGGATCAATATACAATGTCAAATCATAAAGCTAGCAAGTGGATGGAACCTGAGGCATATGCTTTGCAAAATAACCGAAATTGATCGTTTTAAGCTACTAAGTACAGGTGAAAATGGGTAAAATAAAAATTAACCCATCTTTCTGAATCTTGGATACATTCGAATTTCCAACTACTTAGGCTTTATCTTTATACTAATCCTCGTCAGCATGTCGTATGGGGATCTGAATCAGATAATTCCGTTTAGTAATCAAAAAACTAGTGTAAGACTAGTGTAAATGTGATAACATTCCAGATTGAGTAAATGAAGCTCTTTTTCACTTAAAAAATGGAACTTACAAGTGTAGCAGGCCAGTGAGGAGGATAGCTTATATTCAGCGACTTGCCCGAGGTATTCACTGTCAAATCACTCAATGAAGTCGTGGACCCGCCAACTGAAAATCCAGGAGGTGGTACTGAAGTAGATAACAAGCCTGTCAGATCAGGAGTTACACGAGCCACTTCTTCAGCTGACATGTGTTAGCTTGATGCCCTCACCTATCCCGAATATATACACAGGTGGTAGAGCCAAAGCTCAAATGGGGCTATAAAGACAAGAAAAAAGAGATAAATGTACAGTAATGAAGTTGCACATGGGATAATACTATACATCATGAGTGAAAGCCAGTGATACTGCCCAACACTTTAAGTCCAGGTAAGTGGGAAATGTTGCACACCCAGATCCCAAAAGTCAGAGGGTGTGTATATGACAGCTTATAATACTCCATAATCCGCCGACTCCAAGATGTTTTAGTCATACAAATACGATCAGGGATTCTCCCAGCTAACTCTCTCTTAAGGAACCTTAATAAAAGGTATTACCATAGTGGGCTAAACTTTTATGCAGTGTAACTCCATGGGATGGCCGAAGTTGCTCACAGTCCTGTCCTATACAAATTTGTAGTAATTAAGACTTGTTACTATGATATTTGCGAATGCCAGAGGTTCACTGGTCTAGCGTTTAGTTTGAACATGATAAGCTTAAACTAATTGCTCATGCCGCCATAACGAAAAATTATTATTAAATTGATAAGAATATAACCCTGAGCAGAAGAGTATCAGTTCAGTTTTTCACACTGTAAGAATACACAGTAGAAAACAGAAATGGAATAATACTACATGTGGGTTGTGTAGGAAAAGAAATGGTGTATAAGATATTGACGAGTCAATCACTGGTATATTTCCACATTTCTACATATAATTCTTGGCGTTCTGAGGAACTGTCAGGCAGCCTGCACCTTCTTATTAAGCCCGGATCTATTGTCACATATCTTCAAAATTGAAGTCACCTCAATTAGGTCATCCGAATTCTCCTACACCAAACTTGTATCCCAGATATTTCTAAGATATGGTATACCTCAACTAAGAAAGCCAAGATTTCAATGCTTCTAACCTCACACCCGTTAACAGCTAGAAAATAAGAATAGTCGAAAGCTACTATAACAACTAACCAAAGTAATAAAACAGCTACATGATTCGCAAGTAAACAAAAACTCACTAAGTTACATAGCCATAAAACCAAAATCTATGATACCTACATATAATCTTATTGAAAATAGATGGAATGTGTCTAAACCCGTTTACCGATGGCTTTTAGAAAAATGCATACGCTACTAAACGAATTTAGGAATATTTACCAGATGAATATCATGAAGTTAACGAAGAACCAGAGGAATTCATGTAAATCAAGTAGGCAAACAAGTCAATACGCCCTCTTAAGAAACTCATTAAGTTATTCGTCTGAATAAAATCGAAGCTAACCAACACACGAAGTTAACAGAAGTGAACAGAGTAAGACTTCATGTCGCACGAAATTTGAAGATCACAGCCAAGCCATATATGACGTCCCTAGGCCATAACAATCGAAACCATGTCAGATCAGAAAGCAATGGGATGTGGCTTGTCTTCAGCACTTGATTTAGAACTTGTAAGTCATGGCGCGGGACTATGTTTCAACTAATTCATTCTGGGTGATATGTGAAATTAAAAAGAAGTGTAGGCTATCCATTTTCTAAGAGTCAGTGGTTAACTCATTAGGGGAAGTGCAACGCAAACTCTCCTAATTTTCCATAAATTTTTGGCTACAAAGTAATGATCCTGTTGCCACAAGATGTAAAGGAACCCACTAAACTAATGCATGAGGGCAAAATAAAGTAACACCTGGTTTTATAGTCACACTCGCATGAAGTCAAGCCTTTTAAGCAATGGCAACCAAAAAATGCATCCTGAAACTACTTAACAACACGGAGAAAACTTGCATAACTTTACTAAAACACACCTACTTTGGTTATTGCAGGTATAAAAGAAGGATGACTTCCAAGCTGACTGTGGGGAAGCAGTCCTAATGTGATGAATGTTCACTTACATCACAAAAGTTGTGATGGAACCACACAGAGTGAATATACATTACTTCCTTTCAACTTAGATGTAACACGATCACCTGCCCACTACCTTTCATCCATTAGAACAGTAGCAAAAATGATTGAGTGCCCGGTGAATTGCCTACATTTGCAATTTATTAAGTACACAAAGATATCAGACAAGTCTGGCCAGAGCACTTTCTGTCAACCTTTGGATACTGTGTTAAGAGAGGCTTATTGGTGACCGAGAAGATAGTTAGACTTGTGCTGTTTAACGAAAAATCATGACATAGCCCATACACCTATGTTAAATGCAGTAGAATACCAAATGAGGAGTGAGAACCATGCCACATAAGCTGAACCCGCACAAAAACTGACAAGTGAAGTGCGATGTGAAGTAAACAAAAGCATGTGAACAGATAGAGTATGATGAACTACGTGAAGTTAGAGGGTGGTACGATATACAGACTAATAGAATGTGTTAGCATGGTTAATAAGTAAACCTAGTGAATCACATTCATCAAATGTGACAAACAGCATAGCTAGAAACCTACTAGTTTACTTCAGCTATCAAAAATCTCACCGGTAATGTGTTTCCGTTATAAGGATCCAAGCCCATCATCGCAGTTTCAAGGAAAACTACGTATAATAGCATTAGAAATAAGTATGGCAATTATTAGATTTCCTAGACTAAGTCTTTAGTAACTGTTAACATCTTATACTTTGAGTCAAAACCTAAAAAACCATTCAATGACGACAACTTACAAATATGTACAGTATATACAACCAGCCTAACGCCCGTATAGTCCGCAACTGGCCACAAAATGAGAGCGAATCGAAGCATTCAAACAAAATCTTGTGAAAAGAAAAAAAATTAAAGATTGATTTAAAAAAGTTTATATAATTAAACTCAATAAAATATATTAACCTTTATAATTCCAAAACTCATGTTTTACTAGCATGTTCAATATTTTTGCTACATACATACTATACAGTTCAATTCTCATTTGTTTCCTAACATTACACTGCTTGAAATATTTTACACGAAATATTTTAAAATTCCTGAAAACACCTACTTACCTCTTTAATTCTCGGCGAACTAAGTGAATCAGAATTTCCGTGGTGTTTTAATGCATCAGTAGTTTATTCTGGATAATTTGTGTGGTTGATATGACCTTTGCAGCTATCTGCAATCTGATTGGCCAGTTATTAGTTATAATTTGGAAGTGAGAAATACGTCTCAGTAATTTACCTGTTACTCACTTGTCGAGTGGCCAAGCATATACCATTTCAAATCGTACATTTCAGGCTGATGCATTGGAAATTATTTGTAATCTTTACACATGGCAATCAGCCAAGCTGACGCCGATGAAGAGTGTCTCGTTTATCCCGCGATAACTAAAAATTACTCTGAAATTAAAAATTCGGATGGTTCATCAACGGAATTAAATCCTACACCGTCCAACCCAAACTCCCTTCCCCGACCTTTGCGTTCCACTTTAAAGACAAGGTCGAAGTTCGATTCTGATAAGCTTGGAGGAATTGACGCAAATAATTCGGAAAAAATTAACAGGCTTATTACTGTTGACACAAGGGAACAGATAATACCGGAGAGTTCACTCAATAAATCTTGTCATTTAGACACCACAGACAGAAACGGTGGAATGAAAAGTCAACGGACAATGCTTAAAAATGAAATGGAAATATGTGACCCAGCTCAAACAACGTCTCGTGGATCTAAAGAGCACTTAAAAAGGCCTTCTATACAGCAGTTAAGAAAATACTCAGTCGTAGATCCGAATACGCTGAAATTCATCGAAGGTGAGTAATCTTATTATTATCAATATTACTCTTTTTTGGAATCAACATGCTTATTATTTATAATAACCTTTATTAACTTTGTTCCAACTGATTTTTATATATTAAGGCGATAAAATAAGCACCGATACTGTAGTTTACAAGTTCGACTAGGAAGATAACATACAAATTTGAATTTAAGTCTTACAGTTATGTCTATTCAATAGCCACAGGAATTTTAATACACAAAGTAATAATAACATGGCTTATTTCAAGACTAATGATACTCCCATAACAGAATAATTTAATTTGATAAAACTCACAGTGTTACACTGTCATTTACTTGTTGATAATTTTTCCAGCACAACTGTCAGCTCATAATCACATCAATGTATTGAACCCAAGGTTTAATCTATCGACGGCTGACAAAACTTTGTTTTGACTTTGGCATTTTCTATCCTATACATTATCGTTTCGGCGACTTATTGAACTCTTTTTTATGTTTAAAGAACTCTTGGAGACAGTGTTTTTGGTTTCTTTTAATGTTTTGACGACAATTCAACAGTTTACGTTTAATTTCCCCACTGTCACTTTTCACTAATTAGTTTCTTAACAATATCGCGGTTATTCTCTTAGACTTATTTGTTGACAAGTTCTTCTGTTACCGTCATCACCACCATTTGTAATTATAGTATACTGATAGACAATTTGAGAATGAAGTAGTTTGCAAAACATCCGTTACTGTAATTACAATGATTTGTTTATTGTATTTTCGTTTGAGAAAGTTGTATGAGTTTGTAGATAAGCCTCCTTCCCCTCACTATGTTACGTCGGATAAAAATATTTTATTACAGAAGTGTACCCCAAAACAGTGTCTAAATTATGTTCTTATTTCATTGTGACTAATAATATCCTCGAAGAGAATTTCACTTTTCCCAACCTTTCTCTCTTCAGTAGTTTAAATAGCAATACGATGTATATCATTGGTTTAAATCTGTTCAGTAGGTCACTAAAACTTCAGGAGTTCAAGGTTTACAACTTCATCGATCAACTTATTTGCCTTAGTTTGAAATTCATTCCCGAAAATGAGTATTAATCACTGTGTTCCAGCAGACATAGAAATAAACAAAAAGAAAGCAGTGGCCAAATGCTTGAAGCTCATTATCATTTTCGTAAAATCGGGCCTCTTAGTACTGAATAAGATATCTTCTTTACTCTACTAGCGATGCTACTTAATGAAAGCCAAACAAGCCTTTCATATTCGTGCGTCGGTCTAGTCTACCAGAAACTTACTAAGGATGACAAATAAGTTGTCGAATAGTAACGTTGTTCTTTTATGTTGGATTAGTGTTTGTATCCTGAAGTTATCAGTGGGATTGTTCACTCATTCATGAAGTCTTCAACAACATAACTTCAGTAATGTATTAAATTATATTTGGTTACTGAGGTGTATCAATAGATTATTTGCTGTAAAACAGAATCATATAATTAAATGTCATTAAGGTTACCTGGACTGAGGTCTGAATTAGACTTTCTTCTGTTGTTTCTGTTGTTAATTAGTCTTCTTATTGAATATTGTGTAATCCAATTAAATTGTGCTAATAAAACTGTCTTGCTAAATGGATGCTTATTCGAAAGTGTTCAGTGTACATTTTCTACTTTTTTAAATTTTAGTTATCTAGCATTTACTGGAATTGTTTTTAACCTTAGACAGAATACTGTTTAATTGTATAGCATTGATAAAAAAGAGTATCTTTTGCTGACCTATATTCATTTAAAAATACGGTGAAAATGCTTGAACTCAATGACTTAATGGTTAAAAAACCCTGGACGCAAGTTTTGTGCCTATTAGCACTCTTCAGTAAAGCGTGTCTGCAAACTTGTTTCACCCTAAGTTATAATAAGATATCTGATGTTATGAACTGCTCCCAGTGATGGCGATGTTGATAGCGCAGTGACTACTCAATATAACTAAACAACTTCTTGACTAATGTTCAGAACCACACAGCTGACCTGAGTTTATGTCTATTATTCGGCGCATATGTAGCACTGATACTGTGGAAGATGAGTTATACACTTTGAGGAAAATCCTAATGGAAAATGGATTTCCACCACGTTTTATAGATAAGAATATACATTCAAAGCCTACAAAACGTGACTTATCAACCGCTCCCAAGAAAATACTTTACATGAGCTTAGAATTCAAAGGGGACTTAGCTTCCGATATCATGAAACGAAGGATATCACAGTCCCTGAAAAGAACATTCCCTGCTGCCTCTCTGAGAATAGCTTTTACTAGCCGACCATTATTGTTCAATAACCTGAAGGACAAGATCCCAATGTTGACCAACTCTATGTGCGTTTATCAATTCACCTGCTCTTGTGGAGCTAGGTATATCGGTCGTTCGACTCGAGTTTTGTCCAAGAGGGTGCAAGAACATTATCCTGCATGGCTACGAAAAGGTGGAAGTGGAGCAATAAGAAGCGCGATCATAGAACATCTGGTCGAAAATGATCACCCTATCTCTATAGCCTCCGCCTTTAAAGTCATCTACAAGGCAAAGAGCAATTTACCTAAATCCCTACGTACCCGACTCATCTGTATTGCTGAAGCTTTGGCTATCGAAACAGAAAAGCCAGATCTCTGTGTACAGAAAAAGTTCGTTCAACCCCTCCAACTTTCATGGTCTTAATCCCTCTATGCTAAAATATGATAATCCCCAATCATATTTTAGCTCTACCAATTTTTCATTTTTCATTTTGTCTATTCAATTTGTATACTCTTCCTTATTAAGTCAATTGTTATTATTACTATTCTCACTTTGAACTGTCCCCGGTATTATTTCACTTGTTCCACTTGTCATTCTAAATCAATTCTTTTTACAACGATAAATTCTATGCTATTAAATTTCACACAATATTACGTAACGTTTTTGTTTTATTCGATTTGCCTACTAATCCTATAATTGCACATCCTTTTTCAAGTTCTATCCCTCCTATGAATTATTCTATATATGACATTAATCTGCTTTGCCACTTGACATTTAACTACGATTATAATCACAAACATTTTAGTTTTAATTGAACTTCATATGATTATTATTATTTTGTGCATTCACACCTAAGATTCAATTCCCTCACCGGATATAACTTCTGATAAACCATATATATACGACTGTACAGCTTGATGATAAATTCGTTGAAAAGAGTCTCTTCGCTGAATCACTTGTTTTGATTTTCTAAATGTTACAATGGGAATTTTCCATGAGAATAAATAATAAGGCGAATTGGTCCGGGGTTCGATACCCGGCCGATGAACTCCTTTACCTTGCCAAGCCAGAAATAATGCTGGTAAAGGGGGAAGGTTGGGCATGATGCTATCAACCCCATCCTGTAAAATAATCACTGCTACAGAAACTTCATGCCACTAGCTTGAAGCCCTGTGTTTCACTGGGGAACGTGAAGGAAAAAAATGTCGATAAAAACATTGTCGTCAACTCTTGAAGTTTGTTGGTCGTACAAGAAATTTCGTAATGCACTTATAACTAAAAGCTGAGTGCTTTCAAGTCTTTTTAAAATTTCATAAAATCCTCCTAAAAGTTATACACTCATTAGACACTTTTTAGAATTTTATGAGGGAATTTACCTAACTCAAAGGGTAGATTAACAGATTATTGAGTGTCGTTTCCAAAGAGCTTAAGAGGAATGGAGATAGACAGAATCCATAGATTCAGTTATAAAGAAAGATATTTTTGGTCGATAAAACTGAATGATGATCTTTCCACATCGTAGTTCCTTGAAATTCAACTGACTGGAAGAATGGTAATATTTTCTCCACGTAGCATAAGCCACTAGAGCTCAATTCCCTCTTGATTCAGAGATAAAGTGCACACTTCAGAAGAACCAGAGGCCAGAATAAAACTGTCTGATTCTCATCAGTTTTCTAGCTTATTTCATTTCATGGTGAAGTCTCCCTTGAATTCAGTCAAATCCGTAAGAAACCCAACTGTGGTAGTGTTGGATGCTCTGTAGACAC